GTTTAACTTTATTCAACTAACACAATTTACCTATTAAATTATGCCTTAATTAGGGTTAATCACCCACTTACTATCGGCAATTGGAAAAATGATCCCCACATCAAATAGTTTCAGAATCTCATCCCTTATCACCTCCTTCATGGTGGGATTCAACCGCCTTTGTGGTTTTCGGGAAGGTTTGGAATCCTCCTGAAGATATATGCGGTTGGTGCAAATGAGAGGGCTTATCCCCTTGATATCCGCAATGGTCCACCCAATTGCTCCNGAGTGGAAAGAATTTGTCCAAAAACTTAGAAATCATTTGGCTCCACGATGTGATGGTTCAAGGCCTTAAGGAAAAAATCCACGTTTTTGCCTTGTCTTTTAGGGAAAAGGGAAACAATTTCATTCTAGCAATCTCTTCCATCACATGATTGGGGAGGATGGTTGCAACCATTTCCTCAAAATCCCTTATGTGTGAATAGGGGCTCTGAGTTTCAAATCCGTTGAACGTGGGAATTAGTTGCAACATCCCTGGCTTAACTATGAAAAGATGAGCTTGGATCGGAAGGAGGATGCATGATGGTGTGGTGCTTCGTGTTGGTTGTAGGAAATCCCTCATTGACCTCACCGNGAATTAGTTGCAACATCCCTGACTTAACTATGAAAAGATAAGCTTGGATCGGAAGGCGGATTCATGATGGTGTGGTGCTTCGTGTTGGTTGTAGGAAATCTCTCATTGACCTCACCGGGAGATCCATTTGAAAATTATTCCCCTCATTCTCGGGGGGGGGGGGAATTCATTCTCAGATTGGGTATTTGGGGTTCTTGTGGTCCCCCACACCTTTGGACATTTGGATTTGCACCTTTATTGTTAAAATTGTCATCCGCATCCTCGGGTTGTTCTTGGTCAATATTCATGGTAGGGGCCAAATTTTGTCTAACAAGTCGGTTTCGGTCGTTTCGCCTCCACGTAAAATAAAATATATACAAACAAAGTTATACACAAACAAAATTATGTACACGGAACAACGTACCTCGGCCCATGATGAAGATCATGGGACTTACCTCCGTCGTCCGAAAATCACTTTCTTGGTTTGACACTTGCCTTCCCCGTCAACGGTGCCAAAAATGCTTGACGAATTTCCTTGTNGGTGGGATCTGGAATGTCCCATGATTGTCCATTTTGTGCCAATGTATCAAATAATCTAAGGCCTCATTAGGGTTTTTGTTCAAAAACTCTCCATTACACATCATGTCANCAACGTACCTCGGCCCATGATGAAGATCATGGGACTTACCTCCGTCGTCCGAAAATCACTTTCTTGGTTTGACACTTGCCTTCCCCGTNGTGGGATCTGGAATGTCCCATGATTGTCCATTTTGTGCCAATGTATCAAATAATCTAAGGCCTCATTAGGGTTTTTGTTCAAAAACTCTCCATTACACATCATGTCAATGAATTGTTGACGGCCCGGTGTAATTCCTTCATAAAAGAAACTCACCAATTGTCATGGTTCAAAGCCATNTCAACGGTGCCAAAAATGCTTGACGAATTTCCTTGTTGTTTCCTAACCTATAAACATCACCTTTTAGCATGTATAGTATATGAATAAAGGGGAGTGTCACTCTCCTAGGGATGATGTCAAAAGAAAGGGCAACGGAATGGTGGATGAATGAGATTTCAAATGTGAGTATGTGTGAACAAAAGTGCTCCCCNCTTTTCGAAAAGTTTCGAATTTTCTTTTTTAGGGCAGTGGTTTTATGCACCAGAAAGAATTTGTTCAAAAACTCAGAAATTATTTGGCTCCACGATGTGATGGTTCGAGGCTTTAAGGAAATAAGCCACGTTTTTGCCTTGTCTTTCAGGGAAAAGGGAAACAATTTCATTCTAGCTATCTCTTCCATCCCATGATTGGGGAGGAAGGTTGCAACCATTTCCTCAAAATCCCTTATGTGTGAATAGGGGCTCTGAGTTTCAAATCCGTTGAACGTGGGAATTAGTTGCAACATCCCTGGCTTAACTATGAAAAGATGAGCTTGGACCGGAAGGAGGATGCATGATGGTGTGGTGCTTCGTGTTGGTTGTAGGAAATCCCTCATTGACCTCACCGGGGGATCCATTTGAAAATTATTCCCCTCATTCACGGGAGGGGGAAAATTCATTCTCGGATTAGGTATTTTGGGTTCTTGTGGTCCCCCCACTCCTTTGGACATTTGGATTTCCTCCCCTTTGGACATTTGGATTTGCACCTATATTGTCAAAATTGTCACCCGCATCCTCGGGTTGTTCTTGGTCAATATTCATGGTAGGGGCCAAATTTTGTCTAACAAGTCGGTTTCGGTCGTTCCGCCTCCACATAAAACAAAATATATACAAACAAAGTTATACACAAACAAGATTATGTACACGGAACAACGTACCTCAGCCCATGATGAAGATCATGGGACTTACCTCCGTCGTCCAAAAATCACCTTCTTGGTTTGACACTTGCCTTCCCCGGCAACGGCGCCAAAAATGCTTGACAAATTTCCTTGTTGTTTCCTAACCTATAAACATCACCTTTTAGCATGTATAGTATATGAATAAAGGGGAGTGTCACTCTCCTAGGGATGATGTCAAAAGAAAGGGCAACGAAATGGTGGATGAATGAGATTTCAAATGTGAGAGTGTGTGAACAAAAGTGTTCCCCAAGTGCAAAGAGACTTTCGCGGATCGTGTTTTACTTGGTGGTATTCCAAGGTCGTTTCCACNGGGAAAAGGGAAATAATTTCATTCTAGCTATCTCTTCCATCACATGATTGGGGAGGAAGGTTGCAACCATTTCCTCAAAATCCCTTATGTGTGAATAGGGGCTATGAGTTTCAAATCCGTTGAACGAGGAAATTAGTTGCAACATCCCTGGCTTAACTATGAAAAGATGAGCTTGGATCGGAAGGAGGATGCATAATGGTGTAGTGCTTTGTGTTGGCTGTAGGAAATCTCTCATTGACCTCACCGGGGGATACATTTGAAAATTATTCCTCTCATTCACGGGAAGGGGAAAATTCATTCTCGGATTGGGTATTTGGGGTTCTTTTGGTCCCCCACCCCTTTGGACATTTGGATTTGCTCCCCTTTGGACATTTGGATTTGCACCTATATTGTCAAAATTGTCACCCGCATCCTCGGGTTGTTCTTGGTCAATATTCATGGTAGGGGCCAAATTTTGTCTAACAAGTCGGTTTCGGTCGTTCCGCCTCCACATAAAACAAAATATATACAAACAAAGTTATACACAAACAAGATTATGTACACGGAACAACGTACCTCAGCCCATGATGAAGATCATGGGACTTACCTCCGTCGTCCAAAAATCACCTTCTTGGTTTGACACTTGCCTTCCCCGGCAACGGCGCCAAAAATGCTTGACAAATTTCCTTGTTGTTTCCTAACCTATAAACATCACCTTTTAGCATGTATAGTATATGAATAAAGGGGAGTGTCACTCTCCTAGGGATGATGTCAAAAGAAAGGGCAACGGAATGGTGGATGAATGAGATTTCAAATGTGAGTATGTGTGAACAAAAGTGCTCCCCAAGCGCAAGGAGACTTTCACGGATCGTGTTTTACTTGGTGGTATTCCAAGGTCGTTTCCACGGGGAAGGAAGTAAACCGAGGGGAAGGTGATTTTGGGAGAAAGAAAGTGTAAAATCTTTGATTGTTGGAAGTTGTTTGGTGAAGTTGTTTTGATGCTAGTAAAATGAGAAACAAATGTTGGCAAATCCAAGAGGTCACTCCAATAGGAATACCGTCTCAACTCGAAACCCTCCTCCAATAGAGCATGAATGAACGATTGATTCGTGGGAAGCTAGGGGTAAGATTGGTGAGTATCTAAGCATAAACCGTGACTAGGCCTACGGAATATCAAAGACTCACCAAGTTATCCACCCTCAACCCAGTCAAACCGAACCATTGAACTTTGAAAGAGGGGAGGAGAATGAGTTGAAATGGTATACCCAAGTGGAGGTTCCTCTTGGTTTTGCCAACTAAGAGATTTAGCTATTCATGCTTAAAATAAAGACAACAATATGATGAGAAGACATTATGAAAAAATAAAGACTAAAGCTAAGCATAAACGAATTGCATAAATTTAACTTCCGGATAACCACCTCTTACTAAAGATTGGATGAGAAACTACTCACTCTTCATGGCTTTGTTAAAACTAGAAAAGTGAGTGATGCTCATCCCTCCAAGTAGAGGAGTTACAAGGTAACACATTTTACACAAGGAGCCGATCTTCGACAAAGAATGAGTGAATCACGTTCCACCCTTCACGGCTTTGGTAAAGCTCTAGAAAAGTGGAAGAGTTTCACTCCTCTAAGGGAAGAAGGAAGCTCAAGCAATGGAAGTAAAAGAGCAATAACACAATAAAAGAAAGCAATACTTAAAGTAAAAGAAAGCAATAAATTAAAAGGAAGCAAGAATACAATAAAAGAAAGCAATACTTAAAGAAAGCTATAAGCAATAAGGAAAGCAATAATACTTTTGGAGGGTTTTCCACTACCAAAAGATGAATGCTTTACAAGTCCTAAGGGGTGGTATTTATAGGCAACAAGGGAGGGTGAAAGTCTTGTTAGGTGGCCTTGAATCTTGTTAGGTGGACTTGAAGAGTCTTGTTAGGTGGACTTGAAAATCTTGTTAGGTGACTTTGAATCTTGTTAGGTGGACTTGAAAATCTTGTTAGGTGGCCTTGAATTCTTTGATCCTCCTTTGTTTTGAGCTTTGATAATTGGCACCCCAGTAGTTTGTAGCTTTAATGCAATTGACTCCCCAATAGTTTGTAGCTTTGACGCACAAAATCCTAAAAAGAACAACAATTAATGCATTATCCTTTATTCACACACTAATTCTAATTTGATTTATTTTGACTAGTTTAACTTTATTCAACTAACACAATTTACCTATTAAATTATGCCTTAATTAGGGTTAATCACTACACAAGAACTATTTCTTGCCACATCTAACAACAGAAGTAGCAATGCAATATCCACCACCAGGCGTGCCACAAGAAGATTGGAATTATCTTTGTTCTTACTTTTCCTCTAATGAATTTAAGGTTCTTAAACTTACTATAGATACTAAACAAAATCAATTTTCCCTTTATTCGTTTAAAAAATTTCTAATGGAAGATACTTGTTCTATTTTAATGTAGAAAAGGAGTGCTCAAAATGCAAGGATTCAGGCAATGCAAAACACATCCCATGTAACTGGGACAAAATCGTTTGCCCGGATGGGTGTTGAAATGGTAGCAACATAAATCTTAGTTATAGAGTGTATCATATGCGTAGTGATATGCTTCAAAAGCTAATTCACATATTTGAATTGATGTAGACTACTCAAACTGGTGAAGTGCTTGGGCCAATTGAGTTATATAGAATAACTCACTATAGTAATAAGAAACACTCTTGGGTGAATGACCGTGCACATCATAACTATATAAGTTATCAATTCGGTTAAATTTTTTGTTTATCATCATATTAATTAAACTAATGTAATTTAAAATTTATATGCCTTGCCACTTTAGGAGCAAATGGTGGAGCTTTAATCGCAGCCTGTAGGAGAGAATGAAGCACTAGTTTGTGAGGAGGAAATTTTCTCAGAGGTTCTTGTACACAAGTCGGGGTACATACGTGGCCGTGGGCATGGTCCGAAGCCTAACCGATCCTTATCTAAGCACCATGATAAGTCAGAGTTGGAGGCAGCTAACAAAAGGGCCAATGAGTTGGAAGAAAAACTCAATGCTCAACAACAAGACATGGAAGTGATTAAGGCTACCCAAAAGGCAACAAATGAGATTTTGCAAGCATCGATGGAGCAAATGCAAGGGGCAACCGAAAATGCAGCAAATGAGATTTTGCAAGCATTGATGAAGCAGATGCAGGATGGGAGGCACATGTCTGCCCATGCCATTGCCCCTGGGCCTGACCCTCTATTATGGTAGGTGGAATACTTGATTAATGAAAGTTTAGTTTCGATTTTTTTTCCTTTTTTTTTTGAAGTTGTCATAAACTTTATTTTATTGCATGATCGATGGAAGTAGTATGGGGCTTAACCAGGGCGATTGCAATTTAGGTAAGTGTTCTCATTTTTACTTTTGTAGGATAAATTTGAGGGTGTACAATAATTCCATTTGAAGTATTAGAACTTATGAACAAGTTCTTAATTTCTTATTCTACTTGCAATTATGAAATAGCTTGGGGCTTTACGGATGAAATTGTGTAGTATACTTGCTGATATTATGGTGCTTTTATATATTAATTAGAGATTGATATTGTGGTTGACTACACACTTGATGACAACATAGATCCATTAAATTAGTTTGCCATGGTTGTTAATAATAAGGCAATAATATGACAGTTGAATTTTATGACTTAAAGTTTGAGTTAACTATTATTGATTAGATATTCAGCTCATTACCATATTTGCAAGATTAGCTTTGTGAAACCCGGGGAAAATTTAACTTTTTCTGACAAAAGGTAAAATAGTAATTTGCCACTATTATGCAGGGATTAAAATGCATATTTATACAGAGCTCGGATGAAGCATTGGACTTCACCATTAGATTTGTATCACAAAATTTAGCTACTATGTCAAATTTCATCGAATTTCGAGATAGTCCGATTTTACACGTTTTTCGCGACGATTGGGTGATGAATGAACTTTTAAACGTCCCCAAAAATAGAAATTATAAAATTTTCTTATAATTGAATAAAATTTCAAATAAAATTTATTTGAATTGAAATCGGGATTTAATTAAATCATTTCAAGTTAAAAACGGACTCGGAAGTGATAAACGAGCGGGCCGATGTGGATCGCAAAATTAAAAGTATAAATAGAGGAAAGAATATCTGAAAATAAGATGTTCTCCCCACTTTTTCAGCACACCACACGTTGGAAGAGAAGAGAAAAGAGAGAAAAGACGGAAAACAAAAATCTCAGGCTTTTCTCCTTCGATTCCCAAAGTTCCGTCGGTCGGAATCCGTCGATCTAAGAATTAAAGTTAGTCTATGCGACAAGGGCTATGCGTACGTACCAAGAATGAAGATTTTCACCGAAGATCCAAAGAGGGGGATTTGTGAAATCAAGGCTTTTGGGGCTTTGGGAGCTTCTATCTTCTTTTACGCTTCAAGAGGTAGGGATTCTCCTACTTTGGTTGATTTCTTACCTAGTTTGTATTAGGGAATGGATAAGGATGTAGAACAACCTAGGTCTTTTGACTATGGTTATGGAAATAGATGTGGAATTTGGCCTTAGACCAATTCCTAGTTAAGTTTGGCATAGGAAATTACTTGTATGATTTCCTTGGAATTTGATATGCTTGGATATGCTATGTGTTCAGATGTGCCTTGAAATGATATGGGCAAATTGGTGTGATAATATGATTTGGGTGATAACATAAATTGTGCCTTGAAGGTGTTTGATAAAATGCCTTGGGTAGTTTAATATTGTTATTTTGATGTAAATAACATGTTTGAGTTGTTGTGATATGTGGACATATGCTTATTGGTATATTGAGCATAATGATGAATTATGGAACTTATGTGCATATGACATGAAATTCCATGGAATATGATTAATATTGCTCATGTGACATTCATTACATTTTGGGCATGAGGTTGCACCACATTCACTGGGCTTAGGCATGAGTGTGGGTGAGTATGCATGAAGTAATCAATATGTGGACTTAGAGAAGTTGGATCGAAGATCCCTTGGAGTCGCATGTTGCATGAGAAAAACTTGTGTCGGGTATAGTAAGTAGGGTTAGACACTCACTCGGGTGAAAAACCCGGCCACTTGGTTCATACACTTCCCTGAGGTGAAATTTCGAAAAAGTGTAATGGCATACGGAGCCAGCGGTGTGATTCTGAAATCCGATACCCAACAAAGCCACATTATTTTGTTGTATAAAATGTTCATTGAATGGGAAACATCCAACAATGGAAGGGTTTTCAAAACATATGAATTGTATTTCAAAGTGATCATTGGATGTTTTTCATCAATGATAACGGTTTTACACTTGCATTGCATAGTATAATGAGGGCCGGTGAAGGCTCGGGTTGAGGTGCGTGAGTGAATCTCATTTCATTCATGGAATGACATGGTGATTCCAACATGAATTACATATTCTTGCATTGGAATGGATATTGGTTGAGTGTTGTTGCATGAGGCCATTGCATATGCATGTAGGTGGGGAGTAGCCTCTATAGGAAACTTTCTACTGAGTGTGGCTCACTCTATACGGGAAACATTTCAGGTACGGGGCATATTCCAGTGGATGACACACATTCGGGGCCTCTAAGGTGAAGAAGACCCGGATTGTGGCTCTTGAACCGAGTTTTATGTAAAACTTTTGGTTTAATTCCATTTTGGCATGTAAATTATATGGAATGGGTTGTAATAGACTTGCATGAATCATGTATATTGTAGAAAACATCTTTATGCATGTTTGAGATGGATTTGGGAAGGTTTTGATTGGATTGGAAATGAAAAACTAATGAAAAAATGAAATTATGGAAAAAACCTACCGGTAGCAGGTGATAACTACCGGTAGTTAATAGGTAGTACCTATTCGGTAGGCAATAACTACCGAGAGCCAACAAGTAGTATCTGTACAGCAGGTAATAACTACCGGTAGCTAATAGGTAATACCTGTCCAGTAGGCAACGATACCGGTAGTCAACAGGTAGTACCTGTCCAGTAGGAAATACCTACCGGTAGCTTATAGGTAGAACTTCTACCGGTAGACACCTACTGGTAGCTCTTCCAAAAACCTGAAAAATCCAAAATTATTTTGCTAACCTTTTGAACTTCATTTTCTTTAGTTTCAATGATATAAATGGATGTTAAAAGAGATATATTGGGTTATATTGAACCTCGATAAGAGTAAATGAATAACTAAACACGGATAACACGTGTGAGTTAAAATCCCGAGTACTGGGATATTATTGGTGAGATGTCGGTTGAAGTGACACTCATGGGCATTTTACGGGTTGACGGGTTGTCAACAGAACCCCCGGTTTTAGGGGCGTCACAACTTGGTATCAGAGCATAGGTATACGAAATACTTAGGGCTTGATGGGCATTGGGTCTAGACCATTGCATCCATTGTACATTTCATCTTATGTGCTTACATTTTGTTACATGATTACGTGCTATATGATTATGTGAATTATATATTGGTAAAATGTATATGGAAAAGGACACTAGGGTTAGAATACATAACCGTGAGAGCCAGGAAAGAAATGAACGGTATAGTTTAAAGTAAATGCTTTCTAGTGGGTGGTATAGACTCTACTAGGGAAATAAGGGGTAAATCTCAATGTTTCAAGTTTGGTCCCTATCATGGGATCGTAAATGAATAATCTATTGCTATCTGACATGTGTGTAGATGGCAAATCGAGGAAGAGGATGCCGAGGCGGTGGGTGGAACAACCAACCACCACCGGCCTTTGACCAACAAGCCTTTGTAGAGGCTATTGGTGTGGCGGCAGCTACCATTGCACAAGCTAGTGCAATTGGGAGACAAGGAGGCACAAGTCACCTCCAAAATTTCAAGGCACATCAGCCTCCGATCTTCTTAGGAGGAACAGATCCTATGGTGGCTAACCATTGGTTCCGACAAATTGATAAGGTATTGGGGGCTATGAAGATCACCTCCGATGCCACTAAGATAAAGCTAGCTGCATTTCAGCTAGAAGGAGAATCCCAAGTGTGGTGGGATGGGGTCAAAGCCTCAAGGAACTTGGAGGCAATGACATGGGAAGAGTTCCGTGTGCTCTTCATGGAAAAATACTTCCCGGCGGCTGCTAGACATGCAAAGGCCCAAGAGTTTCTAGACTTGAAGCAAGGTACGATATCGGTGATAGAGTACGTGGCTAAATTCACAGAATTAGCACGTTTCACCGATGACTATGTGGCCACAGACATGGCTAAAGTCAGGAAATTCGAGGATGGGTTGAAGTTATCCATTCGGGGTAAAATGGTTGGTCTTCTTCTGCAAGACTTTGACTTGATGGTCACCACAACTTTGGCCATTGAAAGAGAGGTGGATGATGCAAGAAACATCAGGGAAGCGAGTGTTAAGGACAAGAAGAAGGAGGATCAATCCTCTTCTTCTAGTTCTTAAAAGGGGGCAGAGGTACATAGTGTATTGTGATGCCTCGAAGGACGAACTCAATTGTGTATTGATGCAGTCCGGGAGGGTGGTAGCTTATGGTTCTCAGTATTTTAAAGAATCATGAGCAGAATTACCGTATGCATGATATGGAGTTAGCGGCCATTATCTTTGCCTTAAAGGTTTGGTGCCACTACCTGTATAGTGACCAGTTCGAGGTATTTTCACAAAAGTCTGAAGTACATTTTCACACAGCGGGACCTTAACATGAGGCAACACAGGTGGATGGAGTTCGTGGAGGACTATGACTTCACTTTGCATTATCAGCCGGAAGTNGACCACAAAAGTCTGAAGTACATTTTCACACAGCGGGACCTTAACATGAGGCAACACAGGTGGATGGAGTTCGTGGAGGACTATGACTTCACTTTGCATTATCAGCCGGAAGTCACGGGGAGTCTTGGCTAGTATAGCTTCCTGGGAGTGGCAGATGCTCGAGAATGTGGGATAGTTCAGGCTACGTTACATGGGGCAGGCTCCAGGGTACTTTGGGGAGTTTGGTGGCTACACCTTCCCTACTGAGCAGAGTGATTGAGTCCCAGAGACAGGATACAGAGTTATCATCCATCAAGGACTGGGTACGGTTAGGTACAGGTGATGAGGGCTGGGCCATTCACTCGGATGGTAGTCTTTGGTTTAGGGGAAATAGTGTGGTTCCCCAGTCTGTGGAGCTCAGAGAAGAGATTCTTAGAGAGTTCCATTGTTCCCGATTTGCTGTGCATCCAGGTGGCATGAAGATGTATCAAGATCATCATCGCCAGTATTAT